CGAAACGGCTATGAACGGATGTCTCTCGGATGTCTTCGGCACGGAACGGGTCGTGACAACTCATTGAAGTTTGTTCTTGTAGGTTTTGGGCCAAAAGGCTGCCTCAGATGCTGGGATTTTATGTAAGAATCTGAAAATTGGTGAAAGATGAAACTTATCCTAGTTTTTTGCAAAATTGATATGGAAAGCCAGAGACTTGAAGGATAATGGCTATAGTTCTGCCAATAGGTTCACAGACCTAGCAAGCTGCTACCATTGAAGACTGTCAGTGTGTTTACCTTTGCAAGAGGACTTCTTCATTTTATCTTGCTTGATTTGGTACGAGGTCACAGCAGGAAGTGGCGTTCTTAAGTGCCAGCAGCCTGAAGATTTCCATTTAAGGGTCAAGATCCATGTCCGAAATTGTGGATTCGAGGTTCAAAGGTTGCCAGCTTTAGGGTGACTAGAGGTACACCTGCATGCTGACTTCAAAATCTTGAATGGTTAGCTGGTCAACACCTTTTGGTGCTTGCTGAAGCAGGTGTGCACAAGCAAGCAAGAGGGAGAGCACATAAGAGAGCATGGTGGTATCACACCAAGAGATGCTCAAAAGAGAGGGACTGTGCACAAGAAGGTGAGAGGGTGAGCAGGTGCATATGGAGGAGTGAGCAAGAGAGAGAGAGCAGTGAAGAGGAGAGAGAATAGATGATAGAGCAAGAGAGAGGAGAGGAAAGAGGGCAAATGACAACAGGAATAAGAGGAGTGAAGCAGGTGAATAAGCACAGGGGAATGTCAGTGAGCTAAAGGGATAGCAAATGAGGAGAAAAGGGGAGAGAGGGCAAGCATACTTAGCAGAGCTGGTGATCAATCAACTACTGGGGATTGACTCTGTGGCTGAAGGCTTTCAACAGCCTATCACTCGTACATTGGTGCTGTTGCTGCTGTGGGCAATGTCACCAAGCTGTAGGCCCCCAAGATCTAGGTGATGGCTGTCAGGGCTGCAGGTAGCACCTCGTGTGGGGTTGTATGATGTGGTAAACCATGTGGGACACAGGAGGGGCTATGAGTGCAAAGGTATCTGGTTGCTCTAACAGTGCTACCTTACATGGTGCAAGACGAAACAAGAGGGAGTGAAATCCTGGAGACTGCGATGAGCTGGTCTCAAGTGAGGGAGCATGTGCTATGTATGAAGTTGCATGGGTAGTGTATGGTGCGATGTGGGTGAAAGGTTCAGCAGAGGATTGTTGCGTGGACCACATGCACCCCCATGCCACTGCCTGAGATGGTAGCACAGGCAGCCCATGGTGGGTTGGTGAGCGGAGCATCCCTGAGGACGAGCTGGCCTGCGTATCATGGTAGTGGGCGTACAGCCCCACAGGCATTGGTGATGTTGAGCTTTAGGGAGGGCTGGGGCCTTGTTTGGGTACATCCAAGGGAGGCAATGGGTATGAGAGTGGGCATGGGTGCAGTGGGCATGGACGCAGCAGGGGGGTGGTCATTATAGGGATTGGTGAAGAAGACGATGGGGCCAGGGGGGTGCTCATTCAATAGCTCTGGTTTCACCATCTCATCATCCTTCTCTTTGTCCATCTCAATCCCTCGTCAAGGACCTTGGATGGCGTATAGGACAGGGCACCATGCACACCCAAGCAGGATGGGCATGGGCTGACGTGGGCGGCGCGGAGTGTCCAATGGATGTTGGGGCGAGGTTGGGGTTGGGTGCCAAGATGGGGCAGATGCCAGGATGAGGCAAGCATGAGGATGGGGGTAAGTGCGAGTGCAAGTTGGCGATAGGCGCAAGAACATGTAAGGGTGTGGGGTGGCCATATGGGTACACCAGCGAGGCTGTAGGGCATAGGTGCAAGTGAGGTTGTGGGTAAAGGCCTAGTCGGTGGTGCTGGTACCTGCTTGGATGTGGGTGCAGGTATGGGTCTCGGCGCATGTGTGAGTGCAGGTATGAGAGGCATGGGTGCAAGTGCAGGTACAAGAGTTGTGGGTGCATGTGAAGTTGTGGGTATGGGCATGGTGCAGGGGGGGTGGGTATGAGCGGGGGCAGGTGCGAGCCAATATGGTATGGGTACGAGATGTGGGTGTAAGGAAAAAAGGTGTGGGTGCGGGTGCGGGTGCAGGTGCGGGTGCGGGTGCAGGTGCAGGTATGGGTACAGTCCAAGCTACTGGCGCAGTATAGGTGCGAGACGCGGTGCGAGGAAAGGTGCAGGTGCGGCTGCGGCTGCAGGCATGGCTGTAGGTATTGGGTGTGGTTATGGGTGTGGTTATGGGTGTGGTTGTGGGTGTGAGTATGGGTGTGGGTATGGGTGTGGGTATGGGTGCGGGAGCAGGTACAAACATGGCGGCAAGCATGTGTACAAGCATGGGGGGCTCTGGGTGCAACATGCAGGGCATGATGCCAATGTTAGACTGGGTGCGCTGGTGTGGGAGATAATGTGAGTTGGGGTGCCAAAACGGAGGTGCTGCGACAAGGAGGCAGGTGTGGCATGAGAAGATGCCAGCCACAATGCAGCATCTTGAGGATTGAGGGCGGTGGTAGCCTCAGGAGACCCTAGCTGACATGAAAACATTGCCACATCAATGTTGGATGTTGGAATCTTGGAAGTTGAGTATTTGAATCTTGGATGGGCGGAGGTCAAAGAGGGAGAGAAGGCAGAGAGTGAGAGTGAGAGTGAGTATGAAAAAGAAAGCTCCTGTTGGGAGCGCCCTTTGCCATTGAGAGCTCACCCGCAAGCTTCGAGGCTGGTGGCTAGGATCAGAGAGGCAACATGTGACATGTCACACACAATGTTGCTACCTGATGCATAGGCCGCACCCTAGCCCTACGCTCCTACGTCACTTTGTTATAGGCCAAAATCTTTCTATCGAAAGAACCCATGGAAATTCACAGGAAACACTCAGCCAACAAATCTGAAAAGGTAAGGTTTTCAACACATTCAAAAGAATAATAATTATACTCATTCTATTCCTATGATAGTCTGAAATGGTAAGCTCTTTCACTTCCATCAAGACGACAACACAATGACATGGCACAACCTTGGACGTATGACAGGGATGTTGTTACCGCCAGCCCCTTTCTCAAAGCAGCCTTGGCACCATGTTTGAGAAGCGCTCAGCCAAGAAGTTGTAGCATTTTGCATCGGTTCATATTCTCCAGTGCATGGTGATGTGACAAAAGTGTGCCTAGCCAGCTTTTGTTTTGCATGGTGTTTACTGGCCCGCAATGTGGTTGTCGACAATCTTGAAGTCTGGCACGAGAAAGACTATAGCAGCTGCCCTCACCCCTGGACTATGTCTAGACAAAGGGAGGCTCTTGAGGATATCGTAACACCAATGTTCAAGTTTTATTATCTCTTTGTTGAAGGAAACAACCAACATTTGGAGTTCATCCACCTGTTACATCACTCTTGAGCCATATGAATACTGCCATTATATGTGCGCTGGAAACCTCACCAAGCAAATTTCCTGCGTTTTCACTGCCTTTTAGAATTGTCTTCAAAGCCACGAAATTGACCTCGAGTTATACTCTTGGTAAGTTTTTCCTTGTAGCTTGCGTTCTTGTCTCATTACTTTTCTCTCCGACGTTCTCTTCTCTAGGGTCTCTCAATCGGCTCCTAGAATTCTGCAGGCTCTCAGACTGTAAACCTCCAAAGATTGTAAAGGGGTGCTGATCCCAGTTCAGCTGTGCCCTCCCTATGCTCTGATATTACTCTATGGGTGCAATATCTTTATGCTCGTGATCACCAGTTGACTGTAATGCTCTTCCATATGCCCTCCATCCCCTTACTAAAAGGACCAACCGGTGGCAATGTGACCCATTATCTCTAAGGCTCGCAATGGCTTCACCACCTTCTCAGTATCTTCCTGGTTCAATTGCAACATCTGGCTCCCCTCTATGATACCTTCATGAACTTGCATCGCCTCTGTGATTCATCGGAAACAGTGAGTGGTGGGGTTGCATAAGAAACCTTGTCCTCACTGCAGGATAGCTTCTTTCCGATGTCGATCGACTCCAAACATCTCTCTTTCTCTTTCTCTTTCTCTGGGAACATAAAGACTCAAATATCCAATCATTCTTTGTCGCGGTCCCGTGATGCATAGAAAAGCCCCTATTGTTCGCGACAACGCGAACAGTCACGGTAGTTGAACAAAGGGAACCACACGAGGCGGCCTCACTCACTTCGATATAAATTCTCCTCCTATCAGGCGGTTATCCCCAACCTTTTACCACGAGCCACTTGTTTTAAGAAATTTCTTTCTCTCATCTCGACCCCGACGTGCTTCGATAGAGGGTACCCGAACCAGTAAGTCACGGAAATATCCTATTCACTGACCAATACACTAGCAACTGTCACGTCCTTCGTAGACCGAATAAGGCTTCTCTCGACACCAACCGACTTGGTGGGTATAAAGTCGGAGAGCGTAGCGCAGACTCGTCGCAAGCGGTATGCCTTTTCTCTCTGAAAGATCAAAATCATGACCTATCTGTCCTTTTAGGATCATAGCGGAACTTAAACGTCTTGGGTGGGAGGAGAAATTCTTCCCGAAGAACGAGAACGACTATATGTACAATGAGTGGGAAGCGTACGTGGACAAGTCCGAAGAATTTACCATACGTGGTAAGTCACCTCTTTGATCGCCTCGCCCGGTAATTCAGCAGGTCATTTCTCTCTCTAGGCTGGAACGCTGCCCTCGAGAGGTGAAGGTCGATCTATGACAAGAATAGAACCAAGAAGCTCAAAGGCCGCTGTGCCTACGCCATCGACAAGTGCTACATTGTTTTTCGACTCGCTCAGCCCCAAGAAGAAAAGCGTCGGATGCCTCCCACTAATGACCTTTTCTTGCAACCCGCTCGTGAGATCTTCATCGAGGAGCATCACGAACATGACATCACGGAAGACCAGCTCTTCGACCTCCTCGTGCAATTGAAAGTGGACACGAGCGACTGGCTAGAGCGAATCAAGCCTGCCGTGCTGGCAACGCTCAAGGGCTTTCGGGCTAATAACAGGCCCACGGTCGATGACTTCGACCAGGCCCGAGTCCTCTTCTCTTGCTCTTGCAGCCGTTGTCGGATGAGTTCCTATCGCGAGGGCCGGGATTCAGAGTGTAAATATCTATGGACGTTCGGTGATATCGTGGAGCACTTGGTCGACGGTTTTCCCACCAGGAGATGGGAGGAGACTGCCCGCGAGATGGGTTCATGTGCGACAGTGACCAAAGCGGCGGAGGACGTGCTCAAGGCGCTTGGTCTGTCTAAAGAGGCCTCTATGGATCAGGTGGAAAGGCTTGGGAAGCTAGTCTGTGAGTGCGGCCATCGCGAATAACAGGGACCGCTAGATCTCCTTCACGAGTCTTGTAAGCCGTCCACAACTTGCAGTGGAATTTTCTGAGCAACGGATCACCCTTCGTAGGTTTACCACGTCCATACGGAGAGGTTCCACTACTCTGACTTGAAGCGGAAAACCCCCTCTGCGAAGTTCGTGCAATCCTTCCCCTTCCGCGACGCTGGTTCTGATGCTGTATTTTGTCACCCACAGCAAAGCTTTGCTGCACAAACTCGCTATTGACAGCCCTAGCGTCGCAAATCTTTCGAAGTTGGTCAGGCGTGCAACCGACGATGAATCTGTGGACAACGGCCCACTGATGCCCAGTCCAGGTGGTGCTGCGTTCTGTCGAATCTGCTATCAAATCGGCGACAAAGATACGCATCTTTGGCTTGGGTGGGACGCGATGTGGCATATGAAGACTCTGTAAGTCCCTCTTTCAAAATTTCACTTTCTTTCCGATTTTCTGAGCCGAATGCTGTGATCATTTCCAGACACGGAAAGGATCTCGACGAGAAAGACCTCGATCCAAAGCTTGATCCTGAGTCGGAATAATTGCCGTTCATACCCAAGATTGAGGCCTGGCCGCTGCTTTATGACGACCTACGGAATACTGTACAATGACCCCCAGTCGCAAACAATGCTCGCTTTTTCTTCGCCTAACTGCTTTGCGACACGATTCTCTCGATAAATGTCCTCCAAGCTGCCGTATGTGCAGGCGCTTTCGAGCAAACGGTCGGAGCAAACGGTCGGGAAAGGTGCTCCTTCGCCGCTTCACGTAGGTGCAGCCGATCGCGTTTGAAGGAGATAGGAATGCTTTCTGATACAGTGATTCAGAGATTAAATATGCCGTCTTCACACTTCGTTACGCTCATGCAAGTTAGCGTGAGGTCGAGTTCCATCCTGTGCACGTCGGGCAAAGACCGTCTGTCCACACGCCTTTAGCTTTAGCACTTAATGACAGTGACTTCCGGACACAGCCTTACCACGATGGGTCCCCGAGGCCTTGCAAGCTTACTTTTAGCCAGTGGCAGTTGAGGTATATAAGTACCACTGCACTGAAGATGGGTTTGCAGTTTCGACCCAAAGAAACTCAACCTAACACGCGAAGTTACGAAATGGCCGTCTTCAAGCTCGCCGCTCTCCTCTCTGCTTTCGTCGCTGCTGCTCAGGCCAACCCTGTTGCCGTTCCTCGCGCTGCGCTCGACCTATTCGTCCCCCCAATCATCAAGCCTGATGCGACCACCGTCTGGACTGTTGGACAGAACGAGACCGTCATTTGGTATTGCCCACTTGTTTCTTTCTATCTGGCATATCTAGAGTTTTGACTCGGGGATGAAGGGACACTTCCAACGCTCCGGCCATCATCTCGAACGGCGCTGCCGTCTGTCTCAGTGGCTGTAAGTGCACATTCCTCTCCTCGCTGCTATATTTAGGGCATCAGCACTAAAATATATTTCCTCGATAATCATATAGTTGGCGTGATTGCGCGCGGCTTCGACCTCCGCGCTGGGAGTGTGGTCGTTCAAGTCCCTGCTCAGGTCGTTCCGGGACCATACAACATCACTTGTAAGCCATTCATTCAGTGAAAGACGGACCGACGCTAAGGACGGTTTGGCCTGATAGTGTTCGGCGATTCTGGAAACATCAGCCCCGCGTTCTCCATTGTCTCTGTTTGAAGGACACCTTAGGCGCTTAAAGGAGATTTGGTGACAGATGGTTTCGGAGTAGAATTGACTCAACGGGCCTCTTATTCTGGATATAATTTGTTAACAATGCTCTTCACGTTCTAAGAAACCGCCAAAGATATTAAGACTTTGCATTGAAGTGATTATTACCAGTACAGTGGTGCGCATCAAAAAGAGGACGATCAAGGTTCTAATGTTAACGTTGTAGGTGCTCGAACAAGTAGAAGGCAACGAAGATGTAGTGTACTTATCATGGAATTATACGGCCTATATGAGTGAAGTGCGGTATGAAATGCGAATGCGGTACAAGATGCCTGTGAGATTCGAAAAGGGTTACGCCGAGCAAGGCAGGCCGAACAAGAACGAACGGGTTGCGGTAGCTGAATCGTGTCGAATGCAAAAATGGGACATGGTTTTGAGCGCTGATAGGTGAGCAGATTCCCCTTTTGAATTTGAACCCCAGTTCTGCTCAGAGAAGCTGGTAATCAGGGTCTGATAAGTTTCCAAGCAATGAAGCAATAGAGCGCGACCGGCGTTGGTGGGTAAAAATACTCGCCTGTCCCTAAGTTCTCCAATTTCCCCTTCAGGCGAATCATGTCGAACATATCCCCTCTCTCATCATCGCTCTCCGTGGTAGCGAACTCTCGACATCGTGCGTCCAGCGTGCACTCGAAGCGTCGGGACACCCAACTCCTGCGCTCGGGTTCGGGCGCGGCATATCCCCATGTTGTCCATCCTTCGTCCATTCGAGCAGCTGTTGTTGGTACACGGCCTCTGCGGGACAGTGTTGTATTTGATACCCCGTCTCAACGGGGAGCCGCGTCGAGGGATGCATGGCGTAGAGCTTTGTGCGGACGCACATCTCGCGTAACGAGAATGAAGAAGGGGGAGAGAAAGAGTGGAGCGGACCGAACCAACGTCGTCGGTGGTAAGCAGCAAAGTCGCGTTACGAAAGGCGGCAACGGAATGACAGTTGGCCTACTTTGTTGAGACGCGACCTTATATATAAAAGGTTTAAGAGATCGAGGGCCGCTGAGAGGGGGGCCTGTCATCCATCCCATCGAGACATCATCGCCTAGTAAACCCAATGGTGCCTTGCCTTTCCTCGCCTGACTCGCGAAGATGCGGGATCGTGGGTTACACGCCTATAACGTTCCCGTCTCTTATTGTTATAAGTATGTAAGCTGTGGGCGAACGCCAACCCCGCACACGCTCACGCACTTCGGTCCATTTTGCTTCCGTCGACCCTGACGACGTGCAGGTTAGATGGTGGTCATGATCTCATGCCGCCCGATGACTATGGCCATGGACCGGATGCTGCTCAGTGGTCGTTCTCTCTTTCCGCGGCGCTTGCGGCACATAATGTTGGAAGAATTGGAGGGCCGATGCTATATCCGCGCCATCGGAGCTTGGGTGAACTCGTACACAGTTAAAGCAAGACCTTGATAAGATTAAATGAGTGCTGTGAACGGGCGGCGGCATCACCCTCCCACGAGGATATATGGGAAATATTTGCCACGCTGTTACCACGAGTCATACGGACACGGATCGCTCAGGAAGGTAGGAATCGCCATTTCGGGAAGACAATGACTCGGGAGGTCATTTGAAACGCGGCTGCAACGCGACCACTTTGAAGCCTCTTTCACAGTCATCAGCATGTGTCGATACCATTAACAATAAGCTGATCATCAGTTTATTAGAACGAGGAAGAGGCTTTGATGACTCATTGTTCGTTCGAAGTTCTTCATGGGACTTGGGTCTGATGCTATTCATAGAGCCGGGAGTCTTTTGTGAGCCGAGCTTGCGAGAAGGGCTCATAAGCTTATTGGATCTAGTATATCATAGTCGGAGTTGCTCATTGTTCCTCAAGAAATACGGAAATTACGAGTCCGTGCTGCCTGGATCCACCTCTAACACGGCAAAATTGAATTTCACGGGTGTAGTCAACGTACCATAGGGAAACGGAAAAAGCATTCTGCTGACCTGCACGAAGGTAAATAATCCCCCCTTTTCCCCTCCTTTAACAGAAAAAAACAAGATTTATTGACGGTGCATTGTATACGGATCCCACCTTAACCTCACCAAGTCACACAATAGGAGACGCAAATGGGAATGACTAGATAAGGAGGCGACAGACTGCGGCATCTTCTCAGGGAGATTGAACGCCTCATCGGGATGATGACACACAATGGGCTTTCGAAGTGTCCATCGGCCGACGGCAATGTCCAAACTGCCAAGGATCGCCTCCATCTAGATCTGGAGCGATGATTCAGATGAAGTAGCTATCTTGGTGACTTCGACGTGGGACGAATGGACAACAAAAGAGTCACATCGCCCATACGGCTACTATGCAATAATGTTGAAACGACCAAGGAAAAATACAGAGGATGCCGAAACCTACATCTGAACCTACATATTCTCATCTCATGAGACCGCAGAAAGCAAAGGAGAAGACAGAAATATCTGCATGCTAATTACCAAGATTTCTTTTGCTTCGCCTTGTTCCGTTGTTTTTGCTTCTTTCTGTCGTTCTTCGTCTGAGTACGAGCCTGAGATTGGCTTGAAGAGGTTTCTTTTTCTCCGCGGCGCGTTCGCCCGCTATTTGACGCTCGAGCTCGGCATCGCTTGACAAACTTGGCGTAGAAATCGTTCCGCGGGGCTTGACCGATTCTGTAATGGATATTGTATACATGGGCCAGGAAACGGGGATCGTGGCGCAGCAACGAGTCTACGACGGTCTGAAAAGAGGAGCCGAATCAGTTTAGTTGAGGGGGAATCAGGGCAGGTTGTATAGGTCGTACCCGAACGATGTTGTTATACTCTTCCCGGACGACCTTATGGAATTTTCGGTTCTCCTTCGCTAATTGTCTGCAGGGGTTTAAGCACAAGATGCACACAGTCACGACTAATATAGCGAACTTTGATATCCAGGGTTCTGTCGTATCGTAAATATCGACCCAATCGAATGGCTTTCGCGTCTCGAAGTTCAACCAATACTCATAGAAATCTTGCGCATAATGTTGTGCCAACCGGTCATCATCTGGACACCATGCAGAGTTGCCACAGCCAAAATCGGGAATCTGGTCAGTGTCATTCCCCCATCTCCGCTCGTCGTAAGCTAAGCACTCAAACAGATTTCGGAAGAGCGTGAACAAACTCTGCAAGATACAGGGAAGGGTTGAGAGAGTATTCCTTCATCAGAAACTGTGCCGAACGTACCTGGTCGCGACCGTTCTCCACCCAAGTCGCTTTCCTTCCGCAGAGGTTAAGATATTCGATGATGTCCCTGGCGGAGATGCCTTTTGGACGCGCAAGACGCTCGTTGCGACCAATGTATTCCTCGGGAACATAGCGTAACAATGGATCGGCTGGCGCTCTCCAGTTGGATCTTGGCTCTCCCCAACCGGAGAAGAGCCAATCGAACCACCCGCTTGATGGAGGTTGCGTGTCTTGAGCCGCCCATCGCCCAGGCATCGCGTCAGCCGTCCTAGGTTGTTGGGCGTCTGATGCAGGCTTATTCTTTCTTTCGTAGTCGTACGCAGTTCGACTCTGGAGGTGGGATACATAGCCTCAGTAAGAGAAAAGTTTCAAGAATAGAAATCGCACCGTTGGATCTGTCAGCGTCTATCGTGACCCGCAGTCAGCAAGTCGTCTTCCAGCCGGAAGACCGCCGCGGCACCACGCACCTCATATGCTTCCAGAACTTTCGCAAAGCGTTTAGTGGCTCCCTCTATGTCGTCTATATTCTTATCAGGATGAGTTTCCAGTGCGCGTTGACGGTATGCTCGCTGGCCGTTGACAGGCGTTAGCAGCGGATGGGAGGTGATCGTGGAGCCATCCGCACCTTGATCTCGTCGTCAGACGCCTCCTCTGAGATGCCAAGGACCTCGTACAAGTCCAAGCTGTCGAAGTCCAGAGAGGGCTTCAGGCTTGACTCTGCTGCACCCATAGCTTGGTAGCCGAACGTTGCTTGAACCTGAAGCGCACGCTGCTCAAGTGGCCGCTGCTACGGGGGAAACGAAACGGAGAAAACGAGGACTGAGAGGCTCTTACAAGAGATAGAATAGAAGTGGATTCTTTTCGTCAATTTTGACGAAAATGAGCAGAAGAGGCTTGCGGCAAAGGTAGGCTAGTGGTGGTGCGGAGGACAGGAGGCTGCCGTGAAACTACTTCACGCTGGTCACATCCAGATACGGAAAAATTGCTGTTGTGTGGCAACAGCCCCCGAATCCCTGCCGTGCCTGAATTGCCCCTGAATCTCAGCCAAACGCAGATTGATTTGCAGCTTTCCTACAAGAGGACAGATTTTTGGGTGGATTGAATCTACGAGAGAAAGAAAAGAGGTTGGCGTACCGGAACAAGACTCCTATATTACTGTTTGAGTTTCTTCCGAGTTTCTCGTTAGACGCCCATCACTCGACTGTTCCGGCGCCTAATATATGATATCACCAGTTAACGCTAAGGTTGCTGACATCGAGTGCTGCCAACGACAATAATGTGAATTCGAGACTTCAGGATGGTTCTAAGCAAGCACTTTCCCGAAGACATGTGCTTCATTCCACGAAGCACAATGGGGAGTTACATGACCGTCCCTTGAATTTCCCTCCTGAAAAGGGGAGCTCCTCAATAATTCCCTCCGAGGATTCCGAGAAATAACCAGTGTAATTTAAGGGTTCCTACTGTTGCCCTCTTGACTATAATTTCGCACTTGTGACTTCCTTGGGCAAGAAAGAGAGTCAGACCAATGTTGGTCCAGGTCGTGATCAGCGCTTATGGCAAGAGGATCGCGTCAACGATATGTCGGCACGGTATGCCGACGTAAATGCAGCGGTGATTCACGACGCTATTCTTCTTTCCCTGCCAGGCCAAAAGTCTAGCAGAACAACGGTCGACGTCGGAGATATTGCACCAGGATTGCAGAATCTTCTCAGCTGAAGGATGAGGGCAATACTAGCCTTATCACGAGGGACGCAACAGGAAGAAGCCCATCGACGCTGAGGGTGTTGATAAATTTCTTTCGGTCTGTTCTTGCAAAGCTAAATATTTTGTCACAAATTTTGCTGGGATCGGTCATTCCCAATTTGGTCCAGCGATGTCCAGTTTTGGCGTTTTTCTCCCCATCTCCGCAGTCGTGATCGAGCTCCTCGGGCCTCGGGCTTTAGCTGATCTTTCTTTAGAATATGGAATCTTTCTCTTTCGAATATTGTTCCATGGTCCGTGCGCCCCGACGCGTCGCGTCGCCCTGTATTCCTATAAAGACCTTGTCAATTTCGAACCCCAGGGCATCCCTTCTTTCTTCCTCTCCACCGCCTGCTTGTTACATAATTCTGTGCAACTCCGCTACCCTTTATTCCTTCTACCCCAGCTGTCTTCGCGATGTCCTCAATCTCTGCGATCTGTTTCGTCATTTTCAAATTCCTCCGTGTTTGCTAGCATTCAATGCAGCCCGACACACCATGCGCAGTCGACTATCATCAACTGCTGCAAAGGTCAGCAATCGACTGAATGTAACAGATCTTCATAGGTATGTCGGTTGCATGTTTTCCGCTGATTGTCTGCCCTCCTCTTTCGACCCTTCTCAGTTTAAAACCGTCTTCTGACACGTCTCTTTCCAGGACTGCAGGCGCTTCCGTCTGATTGTTATTGCCAGCTGGTGTGTTTCCCGTCTGCGACCTACTAATGGCTTCCTTAATTGATCTCACTGCTTTTTCTAGACGCCCATAACTCCATTGCGGCGCCTATCGGACCAAGAGATCACGAACGAGTTACCGCCAAGACCCCTGAGGGCGAGCGGTACCCATCAATTCACTTACCCACGAGTTCCTTACGGAAGTGTCCCGAAGGCATGTAGTTCATTCAACGGCGTATAGAAAAACATGTGGATGAAGACCGTCCGACGAATTTCCTTCCCAAGTTGCATTTTCTTTCTTGTTTCTTTCATGGCGGGCAAAGGCACTTTCCTGGCACTTTGTCTATCTCAGAAGACCTAATTTCCACATCGTCGCAGCCTTGACTGAAGCTGGCCTGCGCCAATTTCGTTTGTGGCAAATGGGGGCGGGAAAATGCCGGTTACCGAGGAAGGTGGGAGCATCAGGTGGGTCACGATCAGTTTTCGGCACGCTACGATCAACGACAACAACAGAGGCGCCAGCCTACACCCTTTCTCTCCTCCTTCCCTCATCACCCAATGCTGCCCACACACCGCGTCCCACCCTCCCCCGGGCGCTCGCGGTTCGACTTCACGAAAGCCTCAAACGGGAAGTTCGTCACACGATGGGCTCTGCTCGGCGTCACCGTCGTCGCGCTGCTCTGGTTCGGCGGGCCTCTGATATCCGACATGGTGTATGGGCCGCCCGAGTTCGACTACATCCCACCTCCCCCGCGTCCGCCTGGGGGCCCGCATGTGCGACCACCGCCCCCACCGTCTCGGCCACCGCCAGAGCAGGCTTTGTGGGACGGGAGGGCGGATGAAGTTCGGGAGGCGTTTAGGCATGCGTGGACGGGATATAAAGAGAAGGCGTTCCCGCATGATGAGCTGGCGTCGGTGTCGGGCGGGAGTACGGATAAGTGAGTGGGCGAATCTTGTGAACGTAGCAGGTGCTGATGTGGTGGAAGGTACAATGGATGGTCTGTGACGCTCTTCGATTCGCTCGACACGATGTGGATCATGGGTATGCAAGAAGAGTTCGCCGATGCCGTGAAGAGCATCAAAGGTCGTCACTTCAATGCTACCAAGGTCTGTGCCCACCCTATCTCACTTGACTGCTAATTCATCTCTCTGCAGGCCGACCACTACGCTGGTTTCTTTGAGACTACCATTCGTTACCTCGGCGGTATTCTCTCCGCATACGCCCTCTCGAGCGACCCAGAGCTGAAGCGGCTTGCTGACGAGCTCGGCCAAATACTCCTACCAGCCTTCGACGGCACAGAGTCGGGCCTTCCTGCGTATTCAGTCAATGTCGAAACGTACGTTTGTTCCACGTTGTCACCCCACCTGACACCTCTTATTGATCCGCGGGGTACTAGTGGCGAAGTCAAGTTGGATGGGGGCAAGAACACGGTTTTGTTCGCGGAGGCGACATCGTGTCAGCTCGAGTTCAAGTATCTGGCGAAGATCACTGGGAAGAAGGAGTATTATCAGAAGGTGCGTGTTTGTTTTGCTGAAATTCGTTCATCGTCGCCAATTTCGATATAGGTCCAGAAAGCGATGAACTACTTCTACAAAGCTGACGTGAAGGATGGTCTCTTCAACGACAACTGGTTCATCAAGGATGGAACGCCAACAGGCTGTACGTCCATCTTTATCTACTCATCAGCGACGTCTAACGCCATCCTTCTCGTAAAGCCCACTTCACCATCGGCGCCACAGCGGACAGCGGGTACGAATACCTCCTCAAGCAATGGCTGCTCAGCGGCGACACCAAAGCTCGCGACCAATGTGCGACCACCCTCTCTCCCTCCAGCCCTAACTTGACTCTCTTCCAGACATCAAATCCGCCACCGGGATCATCAACAAGCTCCTCTACCTAACGCCCAACCGTGAGCTCATGTACGTCGGCGACCTCGTCTCTGGATCCCTCGTGCACCGACTGGAGCACCTCTCGTGTTTCCTGGGCGGCGTCCTCGGGCTCGGAGCCGTAGGGCTCTCCTCCGACCCCGCCAACCCGTACCTCTCGCCGCAAGACAAGAAGCTGCACGAGTGGGCCGGCCACAGCCTCGCGTACACCTGCGCTGTGTCGTACGCGGACCAGGTTACCGGTGTGGGCCCGGACCAGCTCATGATGTCGCCGACGGGCAAGAAGTGGATCGACGAGGTGCGGAAGTGGGAGGCCGATGGCGAGCAGGGAACGCCGCCGGGAATGAGCGACGCCAAGCCTGAGCAAGACCCGAGCAAGAGGGATTATTACACGAGTTGGGGAAACGCGTATTTGTTGAGGCCTGAGGTGCGTTCTCCTGTTTGTATATCTCGGGTTGTGTTGACGTCCTGTTTTTTTTTTTTGCCTTTCATAGACCGTCGAGAGCATCTTCATCATGTGGCGCACGACGGGCGACGTCAAGTGGCGCGAGCGCGGGTACGCCATCTTCCAGGGCATCAACAAGCACGCCCGTACGGAATTTGGGTTCTCGACGTTCAACGGCGTCGATGGGAACGTGCACCTTCTGGACGACATGCCGAGCTGGTTCCTCGCCGAGACGCTCAAGTACCTCTACCTCCTCTTCACCGACACAGAGACGATCCCGCTCGAAGACTGGGTGTTCAACACCGAGGCACACCCCCTGCCTGTGTTCACCTGGACGGAAGAGGAGAGGCAAGTGTTTGGGATACAGGAGTAATTAATTGATTAGTGGTCCTTCTGTCCTTACCATCGCTGGTACGTTTTTGTTGATCTATTGAAAGAGGGTTATCAAACGCTGATGCGTAATGTGGTGATTCTTTTGAGCAGCTACTGCTCGCATCCACGATATAGATCCAAGTCATTAATTGCACAAGGTTGTAAACTATAATCTAGCGGAATCTGCTATCCTATCCTATCCGGTCAAAACTTGAACCTCTTGCTCTCGTTGTCTCCAGGCGGATCCTGAGCTAATGCGACACGACACGATCCATCGCAACAGCTAACACTCGCGCACACCGAGGGATCCGGAGCGTTGTCAATGTATTCTGCAGCTGCTACTTCAGACTGAGCTTGAGCTCAATCGCGCCAGCTAACCAAACGCCCAAGGCATCCTCTCCTTGTCTAGCGCAGGCAGGAGCATAACGCTGACACTGACACTGATAGACTGTGTCGTTAAACTTATTGGTTCTACAGGTGCCAGGATTTGCGTAACGCCACATTTGCCTACCCAGGGCACTGCAGCTTCTTCAAACACACGATGCCCAAATAGCCTCGGACAACACTGACAGCGATGCTCGATGCTCAATGCCTCCGTCCCATCGCCATCGCCATCCTCTTGCCCTCCCATTACTGCCGGTCACCAGCGCCAGTCCTTCGTTTACTCTCCGCATCCTTACCTACGCTCTGCGCATACCCTATTCTCCGCCTATTTTACTATTTTACGCATACCGCACGCTCCACACGAGAACCCCAAGCAAGTCCTCTCGCTCTCACTCACTCTTACTCTCACTCTCACTCTCACTGAGCCCAGCTCAAGCTCAGATGCTCATGTCGAACTTGGAACTTGGGACTTGGGACTTGGGACTTGGAAGGGATGCGTGCGTGCGACGACAACGGCGCGCGCCAATGCGCCAACACCCAATGTTTTGGAGGCATAAATTCGAATTAATTAACTAGAACTTGGAACTCGTTGCATCCTCTGCGACTCCTTGAGACTATGTAGGCGTTAAGCGTCGAGAGCTCTCCGCCGCCGTACTGTACTATACTGTATTGTACTGTGATACCGGCTTTCCTGAGCGGTGGTCATGAGTTCTGCGCCTACCGTGAAGTGTAAAGTGTAGTGTCCTGGGGCATGAGTGCTTGAGCGTTTGAGTGGCTGAGCGGTGACTGAGTAGTGCTAGTAGCTGAGCTGGAATTCTCCGCGCACCGAGTATCTTAGCGCCCGGCGCTTGGCGTATTATAGTAGAGGTACATATTTACATGTACCTTCGACCTTCGAACATCGAACATCGGCCATCGACCTTGACTTTCGACACCCGACCCCAGCTTCGTTCGACCCGTTCGACCCTTTCAACGTTTCAACGTTCAACCTTCGCCTCATTCGACCCTCAACGACTTTCGACCTTGACCTGCGACCCGTTCAACGTTCACGCCCTACGTTCAAGCCTCATGCCTCAACCTTCCTTCCGCCTAAATATTAGCACTATTTACTCTACATACATACCTTCTCCGACACTCCAACGCTCGTTCCGAGCGACAGCTCAATAGGATTCAGATGACGGACTCGCCGGCACCTGGGAGGGAAACCAGGAGGTTATGTTTGTTGAGTTGCGACGTACGCTGCCTAGCTACGTTATGCGAGTGGGAGTGCGAGTATATGCCTAATGTGTTATGTGGGTACGAACCGTGGAGGAGCGGAGCGGAGAGGGAGGGAGAACGAGGAGTGGGGCAGAGGAGGAGTGGGGCAGAGGAGTGGGGAGACCGGATCGTGCAGGAGACCGGTGGGGGAACGGGAGTGGATCGTGCAGGAAAGCAGATCGTGCAGGAGAGCAGATCGCGCCGGAGAGCAGATCGCGCCGGAGAGGGAGAGGAGAACGAGAGTGAAGGGAGGCGGACGGCGGGCATGTAGCATATGCGTGCATGCGCAAATACTGTGAGCTCGCGTTTCTGTCTGTGTTTCTAGATTCTTCTTTTACATCTCTGCTTCTGCTTTTGGTTCGGAGAGCGAAGAAAGGAAAGAATCGGATGGTAGGCCAATGGGCACAGCGCCGCGGTACAGTGTGGTGGCGGCGAGCTTCTGTAGCAAGTGCGCGCGCGGGGGCGAGGGTGCGGGAGGAGGAGAAAGAAGGATCCAGCATGAGTGGAGGGGGTGAGATTAATTGAGGGGCAGAGGACGAGGGTGAGGGGGCAGAGAACGAGGGGAGGGCGAGGCGGGCGTGGGGCAGGGGGATGTAGCGAGCAGGAGGACGGAGGAGAAAGGATAGGCTGGTATACCGTAATATACATTGCGTTTTCGTTCGCGCATGTCGACGGCGAGAGAGGGCCGGGGTGGACTCGTAGGATTCGCAGCGGAGCCCTGGACGGAGAACGCATGGAACAGCGATGCGTGTGGATGCACGATGTCTGGTGTTAGGCTCTCAGGCTACGCTCAGAGTGCCCCGCGTAACCGTTACATAATTTAGGTAGCTCGGATGTGGGTGTTGGACTCGTTGTCGTTGTCGTAGTAGTAGGAGGAGGAGGAGAAGGAGTGGGGGGGACGGGGACGGGAGGAAGAGGCGGGAGGAGAGGTGTCGGTGCTCGCTAGCTGGCTCGGTCGTCGGTGAGAGGGGCTGGAGCTCGAGACGGACCATATCAGATCTAGCTCTGACTCTCTGAGTCGCTTTCGTGCAAGAGAAGCCTCACTTATCCCGAGCGAGCGCTCGAGCGCTAGAGCTTGGGGTCTCAAGGTGCTGCAGGCGGTGAGAGGGAGGACACTAGGCGGGCAGAGGGCGGGGGCGGGTGATGTCGATGGACGGTGCGAGGTGGGCGAGTGGGCGGGTGCGGACCGGCGGCAGGGAGGTGGTGGGCGGACCGGGACAGGCGGCGGGTCGGGAAGAGGAGAGGAGGGGGAAGCCAGGCATGCATGGGACCAGCTGTAGCCTCAGGCTGTGAGAGGGAGCAGCCTGGGCGTGACGGTGTAGGCGAAAGGACGCGGAGGAGGTACAGGCACGGGTGGTGGCAGCAGGGGACGCCCTACTGTATCGTAGGTATCAGGGTAAGCACCACTGTGCCCTGAAGAGGACAGAAGGCAGACCCCACTGGGGCACTCTCTCGTCTTCGTCTAGCGTCCAGCGTCTTCCTCTGCTCCCCTTCTCCTTGCCTGGCTCTGGAGAAGGCTCTGGGATCCCAAGTCCGAGTCCGAGCCCGCCTATCCTCGTCGACGCCAATCGTAATCACAACCTCAATCCCAACCGAATTCGCAGTGAGCGCTAGGACGACTCAGGCGACTCAGGCGAATTGGCCGCGCTCGGACTCGGACTCGTCGAAGCACAGGACTCGCTCGAGCATCGAGCCTCGGGGCGATGGGAGCTCCGGTCGATAGGCCTTTCGCACCATGTGCCAGTGGCAGGATCTACTCTGGGTCTGATGAGGTGCTGCACACTGTGCGCTGTACACTGGGCGTTGGGCGTTGGGCGTTGGACGTTGACGCGGACGTTGGGCGTTGGGCGCTGGACGTTGGGCGTTGGGAGCGCTGCCTTCCTTGCAATGCCATAGGGCCCGGGAAAGCCTCGGACTCGGAGTCGGAGAAGGGAGGAGACATGATCGACGGCCCGGGCTTTGTCTACGCGTGACCTCATCGACCGCCTGGGGCACTTGCAACACTCGTACGCCCATCCCCCTAACTCTGAGCAGATACTCTGCTTCACGTCGAACCTAGGCCTAGGCCTAACAAGCGAGGAGTCGACACTGGAGTACTGAAAGGTTACAAGAGGCGCTAGCGCTCGTGTTACAATACCTTGGCTCTTCACCACCACCACTACCACCTTTATCCTCCTGAGTCTCTCCCATTCCCGATTCCGGGTTCGAGTCTCCGAGTCTCCGGGTCCCAGTCCGTACTCCCACCTTGACACCTGATGCCTGAGGCCTGGGCCCGGGGGAGAGCACAAGCCTGATATTATTGCCTACAGGCTTAATAGATGATAGCTCGTGAAACAATACTAGTGCTCCAACTACAGCCGACAGCTGACAGCCCGAGGGTAGTAATATATACCTTCGACTCCCAGTGAGCCCAACACCCAACACACACACACACACACACCGACCGTTCGCCACTTCAGACTTCCCCTTTGCAGCACTCGAGGTGCTTATTGACCTTCGCAAGATCCCACCACTCGTACTCGTACTTTCTCGTACTCGAACGCGAACGCCGAACGCGCACAACTAGAACACCACTGCAGCTAACCCTGTGCTGGTCGCAAAGCCCAGTTATACGCTGGGCTCGGGACTCGGACCCACGCATCCGAGTCCGGATAGATAAACCTAGGTACTAGGTAGGATCCGGACGTATGCGTCGCGTAAGCCGTCATCATCGTCGAACGAGAACTAGGGCGCCCTCTCACTCTCTCACTCTCTCCCCCTCTCCCTCTCTCATCTACGATATCAACCGATCGATCGATCGACCTGCGTTCCTGGCATTTATGCCAGTGCTTACACTCAGCCTGCTACTCTGGGATTTATGGTGCCTACGCTCAGCCTGCTACCCTGGGATTTATGGTGCCTACGCTCAGCCTGCTACCCTGGCATTTATGGTGCCTACACTCAGCCTGTGATCCCCGAGCTGCGATGCGAGGTCCCGGATGGTGAGGTCGATGTCGGAGAACTTCCGGGGGGGGGAGGGGGGACCTTCCAGATCTGGAAATTTACATAAAGGGCCTGACACCTGTGCTGTGTGGCGCACAACCGACTCTGGAATATGCCTTCAGGCTGAGCGCTGAATATTATTGAATGAAGGCACAATCGCACTGTCTGATCTCACGACAAAACCATTTTTAGATCTGTCGAGCTGACATCGACGTTGAGATTGACATTATCACGGTTTGTCGTCTAGAGTTTAGTATGTAAGGTACGTATGCAGTATGCTTTTGTTTTTGTGCGTGTGCGTGTGCGTGTGCTGGTATGTATGTATGTAAATTCGACGTCTAGATCTGCACTTGACCACCGACGCGGGGCTGCCGGAAACGGGGCGAGTCTGGGCGTTCACATGGCGTACTCGCCCCGATGCTTCGCCGACGAGATGTCATCGTCGCTCCTGCTTCTATCATGCTGCGTCTCCGTATCCTACATCCAAGCACCAACAAACGTCCGTCAGTCCATCCTTCTTCCGTCTTCCCTCTTTCCCATAGAACGAAATAGACTCACCAAACGATCACCCTCCTTATGCGTATCGATCCTGATCGAGATATTCTTCACCTTGTTCATCCCGTTCATCCCATTGAGGGTGTTCACACCCCCGTGGCTCGCGTGCGGGCTGACGACGCTCGGGGGGATCGAGACCATCATGTGGCTCGTCCCGTCGTCCATCCCGGAAGAGATGGATTGCCGGGCGTT